ATTTTCTCGTTCCTATAGACTTTTCGGCCAGTTCCTTTTTAAAAGAGGCACTGTATCTCAGTTTTGGTAGAGTCATCGATCGGAGTTAACAGGATAGTTACTATGCCGCCCCTCGAGACAGTTGGACAATCTGATCATTATTCACAAATGAATGTGGTTGAACGTTTGCATAGGATGATTTGGTCGTGCCTAATTTGAAGCCAGTGACGCAGCCGTCAACACGGTGGCTTCATGCAGGCATGACCGCTGTTCAAATCCCGGTCGCACTACTGACGAACGCTAACAAGGTCGAAACTCAAATATGGTGATCGTTTTCTAAAGGGACTGACTGGAAGTTCTATGTGAATGCGACCGCTTCGATCAATTGGGAGTGTTGCCCAACTTGTAACGATCAAAAGCAGTAATATACTTGGGTATTCAATGTAGATCTTACGTTGGTTGTCCACAGGAAGTAGGGACTTTACTGCTTTTGAAAGTCTTATTTTCATAAAAAATTTCACTTAATTATCGTTGTTTTTCATGCTAGATTACGATTTTCTGAGTTGCGCTGTGCACTGTACTTCAATTTTTTCATCCACACTTACACAGGGTCAACCAATTACCAAAGTCACTACAAAGCTACGTGATGCCGTTCAAAATTGGAAGTCGTTATCCCCATCAGAACAGGCGGTTAGTGTGTTTTTATCGATGTCGTACCATAACTAACGTGGTTACTGTATAGTGTATGACCCACTTGGGTTGCTAGTTTAAAAATAATCATCAGATATAGTCACCGCTTTGATTTTCAACTTAATGTATCATACAGTCCAAACACATACGTAAGTTGTTATTGGGTGCAACAGTGTCTGTTCTCCTGCGTAACCTAGTTACCATGTTTGAGTATTTAATGTTTTACGTGCTAATCCGCCAATCGTTCCACGGTTGTTCTCTCTTATGTAAGTATTGTTAGATCATAGACTTATGTGATATCCGTTGCGGTGACCCTCTACCCTCATGCGTCGCCGTGCAATCTATGTTGGTTTCTAAGATACTACTTATAAGTAGGCACAGAATAATATCAGAACATACCACATTTCATCTTTGTTCGCAACCATTTGGGTCACAATTTGTTGCCTCCGAAAAGGACGTTTGTAAACACTTCTGTCTGGTATTGTCACTGTCTTCTTGTCATAGTGCGATTTGAAATTGAATCATGTTGTTCTGTCCAGTGACTATTCTACCTACCAGTTTTGGTAGGCTTCTAACATCTTGATGGGGGCTGACCGTACAGTCTACCAATTCCAGAAATGCACAATCAGATTAAGAACTGACGAGTGTGGTGGCCATGGTAGCATGCCTTTCATGTTTGAGGCCAAGATATCCTTTACTCTCCGACATCAGCAAGACAGCCAATCAAGTTATTGATGGCGGGTAATTGTTGGCATTATTCAAAATGTTTCCGTACTATTACGGTATCGTTGGTTAACTGAAAGCTTACTCCTTCCTGACCTCCCCTCCTTTTCTCTGATGACACCGAAAGTGACTCCGATTTTCGAATAATCAGGTATGTGCGTTAGTGTTTCCTCTTGTCGCCTGTTATAAGTTCGGCTTGAGGATGATCTGTTGCACATTACAACACCACATTTATTATACCTCCGAGATATCCTTACTTGTCTAGCTCGTTAACCCACGTGGCATCCAACGCGAAATAGTTCCAGTTCTACCTTGACCCATTGAGGATGGTCGGACCTGTTACTGGGAAAAGCCGTGCGCAACCATCTTGTGTCTAGAATTCGAGTTTAGGTTATTCAACCCAGACCAATTTTGAAAGAGTGAAGTACATAACCGCCCTTTGAAAACAACTGATATTGTGTGCGCTTGTCGTTCAACATCACAACCCGAAATGGGTACTCATCATGCATCGTGATCTCGATACA